GCTTAACAAAACTTACCTTGACTTGGGTCTGTTATCTCTGTGACTGGAAACTGTTGAACAAATGCTCGTCGTCCAGTTAAGACGCAAGTATTTTATTATTTATCATTCAGTTTTGTATGGTGGAGTTTTGTGAGGTTTATTATTTTTTCGCGACGTTCTTTGCTTACTTGTTTATGGTTTGAGAGATTTCAGTTTATTTGATTTACGTTTTTACGGTAGCTCTGAGCGGGACTCGAACCCACTGTCTTTTCAAGCTAATTTTGTTTTATTTTGATGGCACGCTTGTGTACCACGCCACGACGTTGGTCGTTAAGTGGTGTTCATTTTTCTAACTACTCCAGTGTTCCGATGAGTTGAACGGAAAAGCCAAAACAATTGCTCGTTTCTGATTGCTTCGGTTCTGGTGAGTGTGTATCTAGTGTGATTCGAACCCATGTCGTTTGTATTGAGCGTTTTTTTATTTCCCATGTTGGCTACTCCGTAATATGCAACCACTTCCCCGTTTTATTGTGATTTTGAGAGCGTTTAATGATGTCTTCCTCGCCCGTCACGCCATGACCCAGTTTCAACCACACGACCATTTTGCAACAAGTGCTAGGATTTATTACCGTTATTATCATTATATTGTCACATGATTTATTTTACCTTATGTGCAATGTCTTAAGTATCTTTATTGTAATTTGTATATACCAATTCGTATATACCGAGGAAACGACCCCGATTGAAGGTCATGTATTTTGTGACGTCACCAATTCGTGTGTAGGTACGGCTTCTAGATCCGTGCCCCTATTGTTACCCTGACACAATGACATATCCGACTGTTACCATGACACAATGACATATTCTACTGTTACCATGACACAATGACATATCCTACTGTTACCCTGACACAATGACATATTCTACTGTTACCATGACACAATGACATATCCTACTGTTACCTGACACAATGACATATTTTACTGCTACCCTGACCAATGACATATCCTACTGTTACCATGACACAATGACATATTCTACTGTTACTATGACACAATGACATATCCTACTGTTACCATGACACAATGACATATCCTACTGTTACCCTGACACAATGACATATTCTATTGTTACCCTGACACAATGACATATCCTACTGTTACCCTGACACAATGACATATCCTACTGTTACCCTGACACAATGACATATCCAACTGTTACCATGACACAATGACATATCCTACTGTTACCATGACACTATGACATATTCTACTGTTACCATGACACAATGACATATCCTACTGTTACCCTGAAACAATGACATATCCTACTGTTACCCTGACACAATGACATATCCTACTGTTACCCTGACACAATGACATATCCTACTGTTACTATGACACAATGACATATCCTACTGTTACCCTGACCAATGACATATCCTACTGTTACCATGACACAATGACATATCCTACTGTTACCATGACACAATGACATATCCTACTGTTACCCTAACACTATGACATATCCTACTGTTACCCTGACACAGTGACATATCCTACTGTTACCCTGACACAATGACATATCCTACTGTTACCATGACACAATGGCATATTCTACTGTTACCCTAACACAATGGCATATCCTAGTTACCCTGACACAATGACATATCCTACTGTTACCCTGACACAATGGCATATCCTAGTTACCCTGACACAATGACATATTCTACTGTTACCCTAACACAATGGCATATCCTAGTTACCCTGACACAATGACACATCCTACTGTTACCCTGACACAATGGCATATCCTAGTTACCCTGACACTATGACATATCCTACTGTTACCCTGACACAGTGACATATCCTACTGTTACCATGACACAATGACATATCCTACTGTTACCCTGACACAGGGTTCTCCCCAGGGCTTTTTAGCGCCGAGGTCCGCGGCGCTATACCTGTGAATCTCGGCGCTTCACTTGGGACCTCGGCGCTATGTGTTCCCACCTCGGCGCTTGATTTCATATTTGACATGCCAATATCAGATGTGAAAAAGCTTTGTTCGCCACGCCGGTCAGCCCCGACCGTCACTCAAAATTAGTGACCACCACGGAAATGCTTCCGACGAGGACTATTGTCTGATTGTTGGTATAATTACGTACCGACCGACACGCATCCTGCCAGTCGTGGATTATAATTTATAAACAATAGACCTAGTCGCACGATACGTAGCGGCTAGTCAAATTTGTGGAATTAGCACCTCTTTGTTTGTAAGTAAATACTTTCTGCGATAGACTCAGTCTTTAGATTGAAAGCTAAAATTATTTCAAAATCAATTCCACCTCGATATAACATGGTCAAATCGGAGTTCACGATCAGTTCACACTACTCAAGAAAAAACAACGTGTTTATTGCGTGAATTGGTAAAATACATTTGAACTGTTATCATTGCGAATCATGTAAAAACTCTTCTTTCAAGACCTAAT